CTGTATTGTTTGATTACATGAGAAACACACTTTACACCTAAGCATAACAAAAGTGTCTGATAGATTTGTTTCTACTTTAGGATTGCAAGTGTCCCAAGACAGGTCAGGGGACAGAGAATGGAGGGCCAACAGCAGCAACTTTGCCCTTCTTTTCCCTCATGGATGAGGCTTTAGGGCTGCCTTATTGCTTCAATCCAAGTGGGTGAAGCCGGTCCAAGCAATGCTGCTGAGGAGGAGAGGCACAGAAGGCAAGAAGTGCAGGACACAGGAAAAAGATGACAGAGAGACTGACAAAGGCGTAAGAGAGAAGAGAAAGGGAAGGAGAAAGACCAAGGATGACCCATTCCATGCCCTCCTCAGAGAGTACATGCAGTATCTGAGGGAGGCCAGGGAGAGAACAGACCGGCTATTCTCTCTCCTGGACAGAAAGATAGACAAATAGAATGCCAATGACATAAAATTCCTTTAAGTTATTTAATTATTTTATTATGCTCCAATGTTTAATAATCTGTTCAAAAGACTTAAATGTTCAAATGTATTTAATGATCCGTTCTGTAAAAATAAGAAAATATGAATCCATCCATCCATTTTTATCTGCCTGTCCGGAGTCGGGTCGCGGGGGCAGTAGCCTAAGGTGAGAGGCCCAGACTTCCCTCTCCCCAGCCACTTGGGTCAGCTCCTCCGGGGGAATCCCAAGGTATTCCCTGGCCAGGTGAGAGACATAGTCCCTCCACTGTGTCCTGGGTCTACCTTTAGGTCTCCTCCCGGTTGGATGTGCCCGGAAAACCTCACCAGGGAGGCATCCAGCAGGCATCCTGACCAGTTGCCCGAGCCACCTCAACTGGCTCCTCTCGATGTGGAGGAGCAGCGGGTCAACTCTGAGCCCCTCCCGAATGACCAAACTTCTCACCCTATCTCTTAAGAGAGAGCCCAGCCACTCTTCGGAGAAAACTCATTTTGGCCGCTTGTATCCGCAATCTTGTTCTTTCGGTTACTACCCAAAGCTCATGACCATAGGTGAGGGTAGGAACGTAGATCGACCGGTAAATCGAGAGCTTCGCCTTCTGACTCAGCTCTCTCTTCACCACGACAGACCGGTACAACGTCCGCATCACTGCAGATGCAGCACCAATCCGCCTATCGATCTCACGCTCCAGTTTTCCCTCACTCGTGAACAAGACCCCGAGATACTTAAATTCCTCCACTTGGGGCAGGACCTCATCCCTGACCCGGAGAAGGCATTCTACCCTTTTCTGACTCAAGACCATGGTCTCAGATTTAGAGGAGCTGATTCTCATCCCAGCTGCTTCACTCTCGGCTGTGAACCGCTCCAGCGAAAGCTGAAGATCACATTCTGATGAAGCCAACAGGACCACATCATCTGCAAAAAGCAGAGACCTGATCCTCAGGCCACCAAAACGGATGCCCTCCACACCTTGGCTGCGCCTAGAAATCCTGTCCATAAAGGTTATGAACAGAATCCGTGACAAAGGGCAGCCTTGGCGGAGCCCAACTCTCACTAGGTATGAGCCCAACTTACTGCCGGTGATGCGGACCAAGCTCTGACACCAGTCATACAGGGACCTAAGCCTGTATTAGAGGGCCTGGTATCCCATACTCCCGGAGTACCCCCCACAGGGCCCCCCGAGGGACGTGGTCAAACGCCTTCTCTAAATCCACAAAACACATGTAGACTGGTTGGGCAAATGCCCACGCACCCTCCAGGATCCCCCTAAGGCTATAGAGCTGGTCCAGTGTTCCACGGCCAGGACGAAAACCACATTGTTCCTCCTGAATCTGAGGTTCAACAATCCGATGGACCCTCCTCTCCAGAACCCCTAAATAGACCTTACCAGGAAGGCTCAGGAGTGTGATCCCCCTGTAGTTGGAACACACGCTGCAGTCCCCCTTTTTAAATAAGGGGACCACCACCCCAGTCTGCCAGTCCAGTGGGACTGCCCCCGAAGTCCACGCAATATTGCAGAGCCACGTCAGCCAACACAGCCCCACAACATCCAGAGCCTTAAGGAACTCTGGGCGGATCTCATCCACCCCTGGAGCCTTGCCAAAGAGGAGCTTTTTAACCACCTCAGTGACCTCAGCACCAGAGATTTGAGAGGCCTACCCAAAGTCCCCAGACTCTGCTTCCTCACTGGAAGACGTTTCGGTAGGATTGAGGAGGTCTTCGAAGTATTCTGCCCACCGATCTACAACGTCTTGAGTAGAGGTCAGCAGCACACCGTCCCCACTATAGATAGTGTTGGTAGCGCACTGCTCTCCCCTCCTCAGGCGCCGGATGGTGGACCAAAATCTCCCCGGAGCCGTATGGAAGTTTTGCTCCATGGTCTCACCGAACTCCTCCCATGCCCGGGTTTTTGCCTTGGCGACCACCCGAGCCACGTTCCGCTTGGACTGCCGGTATCCGTCAGCTGCCTCTGGAGTCCCACAGGCCGAAAAGACCTGATAGGACTCTTTCGTCAGCTTGACAGCGTCCCTAACTGCCGGTGTCCACCAGCGGGTTCGGGGATTGCCACTACGCCAGGCACCGACAATCCTGCGACCACAGCTCCGGTCTGCCGCCTCAACAATAGAGGCACGGAACAGGGTCCATTCAGACTCAATATCCCCCGCCTCCCCCGGAACATTTTGGAAGTTCTGTCGGAGGTGGGAATTGAAGCTCCTTCTGACAGGAGACTCTGCCAGACGTTCCCAGCAGACCCTCGCGATGTGTTTGGGCCTGCCTGGTCTGACCGGCATCCTCCCCCACCATCTGAGCCAACTCACCACCAGGTAGTGGTCAGTTGACAGCTCCGCCCCTCTCTTCACCCGAGTGTCCAAGACATGTGGCTGCAGGTCAGATGAAACAACAACAAAGTCGATCATCGAGCTGCGGCCTAAGGTATCCTGGTGCCAAGAGCACATGTGGACACCTTTATGTCTGAACATGGTGTTCATTATGGACAATCCATGACTGGCACAGAAGTCCAATAACAACACACCACTCGAATTCAGATCAGGGGGGCTGTTCCTCCCAACCACACCTCTCCAGGTCTCACTGTCGTTGCCCACGTGAGCGTTAAAGTCCCCCAGCAGAACGAGGGAGTCACCAGAAGGAGCGCTTTCCAGCACCCCCTCCAAGGTCTCCAAAAAGGGTGGGTAGTCTGAACTGTAGTTTGGTGCATAAGCACAGACCACAGTCAGAACCCGTCCCCCCACATGTAGACAGAGGGAGGCTACCCTCTCATTCACTGGGGTAAACCCCAACATACAGGCACAAAGATGGGGGCAACTAGTATGCCCACCCCTGCTCGGCGCCTCTCAGTGAGAGCAACTGCAGAGTGGTAGAAAGTCCAACCCCTCTCAAGGAAACTGGTTCCAGAACCAGAGCCATGCGTTGAGGTGAGTCCGACTATATCTAGTCGGAACCTCTCAACCTCACACACCAACTCAGGCTCCTTCCCCACCAGAGATGTGACATTCCATGTGCCAAGAGCCAGCTTCTGTAGCCGAGGATCAGACCGCCAAGGTCCCCGCCCTCGACTACCACCCATCACACACTGCACCTGACTCCTTTGGCCCCTCCCACGAGTCGTGAACCCATGGGAAGGGGGACCCATGTTTCCTCTTCGGGCTGTGCCCGGCCGGGCTCCATGGGTGAAAGCCTGGCCACCAGGCACTCGCCAACGTGCCCCACCTCCAGGCCTGGCTCCAGAGGTGGGCCCCGGTGACCCACTTTGGGCGAGGGAACACGGTTTCCATTTATATAATTCATCATAAGAGGTCTTCGGGCTGCTCTTTGTCTGATCCCTCACCTAGGACCTGTTTGCCATGGGTGACCCTACCAGAGGCAGAAAGCCTCAGACAACTTAGCTCCTAGTATCATTGGGACACTCAAACCCCTCCACCACGGTAAGGTGGCAGCCCAGGTGCATTTTATTTTGAATTTTAATTTATATTGTCATATTGTGCATGTTTGTTATGTCAGTGCTAAATTAATAGTTTCATGGTTTTGTAATTGCTTTTTTGCAATGTCTCGATTTTAGTGAGGTTAGTACACACCGTAGCCACAAATGCTATGATTCTAATTGACATTATTTATTCCAGTGTTTCGGTTTTCCGTTTAAGCCAAGAATTTTAGCTTCGGTGCCTCTCTTGTAAAAACAATCTGATGAACTGTAGAACAAATAATTCTAAAAAGTATAGACTGCATTTCAGTATAGATTATTAGTATAAATTACATTTAAATTACATTCAACACTTTTTTAAATAAATACAAAATATCTCAAATTATTTTTACATTATGGTTCTTTTTCTAAACAAAAAAATGGTCATAGAATTAACAAAGATGATGATATTTTAAATAAAATACAAGCTAAATGTGAAGAAAACACAACATTCTCTCAACTAAAGTGAAAAATGTAAAAACACAAACAACGTTACTTTCTGCTTTCCTGATTAATTTTTTTTATTACTTTTCATGTGTTCCCCCCCCCCCCAAAAAAGTTCGGTGTTGCCAAACTGTTAACGCTGATACGACTTTACTCCCACCCAGCATATTTTACTGAGGATGTTTTTCTGCTCAACATCCGACTTCTTAAACCCAAACCAGGTCCTTATAACCAATGTAACCCTGTGTTCTTTACAAGCACGTCTTCATCCACACTCTCTGCTCTGCAGTAGCTGCTGCTGTTCCTCCAGAGCTGACGCAGATTGACAACATTCATGCGACAGCGGGAGTGCTCTCGCTGCCATGTTGAAACTCTAAACTGTCGCGTTCCTCAATGACGTCATCAGCAAGGGCACCTGGTTAGCTGTAGTAAATAATTAGTAGTAGTTAGCTGTAGTAAATAATTCTGTATTGTTGACAGAAATCATGCCAGTTATATCTTATATTGTTTATACCAAGCATTACCAGCTGTTAAAACTTAGTGGCAGATGTTTACACTCATGGCTCTGTTGTTTCTGTTAATTTGTGACTTTATATATATTTGTCTTGACAGCTGATCTACGAGAGCTTTGCTAGATATCTGGTGGAGCATAAAGGATACGACAAAGACCTTCTGAACCTGACTCCTGCTAGTTGGGACTTCTGGTAAGTCTACCCCAGGGTGGTACCCTCTCATGCCGCAACACTCACCCAGGAATTCTAAGAAACACGTGTCACATCTGAACTGAACCGATTAGCTTGTCTGGATTCACGCTTTTTATTATTTTTACTAAACATTCTTTCTAGAGGCCGACTGATATTGACCCCTTTGCTTGTGACGACGTGCTCTCTGGCGTGCGCCATGACGGACGGCGGAAGTGGACTGCATAAACAGTGTGGGTGGCAGTAAATAGTATTAGGGCTGTCGCGGTAACCGCAAAAATGAAATATCGCAATATGAAGAAGCCCACCGCGCTGCATCATGGGCCACCGCGATTACTGAACGTGATTCAACTCAATGATGCATGTTGAGAAGGACGGCTGCACTGGTATCAAAACGAAACGTTACTTCGCTCCTTTGGGAGCACTTTGGTTTTCAGTACGTCAGCTGCTGCGCAGCCAGAGTCCTTGGCCGAGACAGAGCTGCCACCAGCGGCAAAAAAATAATAATAAACGCTCGGAGACCTGCTGAAGTCCCGGACAAGCACTGCTTCTGCAACCGTCCCGAAGAGAGTTTGAGCCGAGCTGGAGCTCACTCGCTACCTGCAGGAGGAATGCATCCACCCTAAAGAAACCCCCCTGACATGGTGGAGCAACAACCGGGAAAGATTCCCTTTGCTCGCCAGAGTCGCACGCAGGTACGTGTGTGTTAGTGCAACGAGCGCACCATCCGAGAGGGTTTTCAGTGTTGCTGGAAATGTTGCCACCCCTCTCAGATCCTCTCTCAACCCGTATATGGTTAACATGCTGGTTTTCCTTGTGGGTAACAAGGACGTGACCGAGCTATAAATCACCGTCATTCGTGTGTGAAAGTGAAATGATAGTGCCCCCCCCCGGCGCGTGCGCGCCCGGTACATGTAATTTTTTATGCTTGATTTTAAACAACTAAACAAAATGGGGACTTGTTTCTTATTTGTTAGATGCTGCAGCCAAATTTGCATTTAAAAGTTTAACCTTCTCCTGAATTTTGTTGTTTTTAAGTTCAGTCGGACTCCGACTGTCGGAGAAACAAACGTTACTGCGATCTGTGTTGTTACTGCCCTTTGATCTGCATTCAGTAAAGTGTTATTAAAGAAGGCACGGCAATTTTTAACCTTTTTTAAATGTGTAAACATTATGTTAAGATAGTACTGCAATAAAAAAAGGGCTGCAATAATATCGCACACCGCAATATTAAGCCACCCTGAATCACCGCAGGAGGAATTCCTCAACCGCGACAGCCCTAAATAGTATATATACATACATACATATACAGTTGTGGTCAGAAGTTTACATACACTTGTAAAAAATATAATATAATGGCTCTACTGAGTGTCCCGTTATTTCTAAAACTCTGATTTTTCTCTGATAGAGTGATTGGAACAGATACTTCTTTGTCACAAAAAACATTCATGAAGTTTGGTTCTTTAATGTCTTTATTATGGGTTAACAGAGAAAAGTGATCACATTTGCTGGGTCACAAGTTTACATACAGCAACATGATCTAGCAATTTAGGTGACTTAGAAACGTGTCAGTGAACTGAGCTTCATAGCATGGCCTCTTAACTTCTTGTGAGTGATTATGAGTGACTACAGCGGGTGACTTCTCTTAGGCCAGGTAAATAGGGCTCATTGGATACAAGCGCCCACAAACGCTACAATGGGAAAGTCAAAGGAGCTCAGCATGGATCTGAAAAAGCGAATTATTGACTTGAACAAGTCAGGAAAGTCACTTGGGGCCGTTTCAAAGCAGCTGCAGGTCCCAAGAGCAACAGTGAAAACAATTGTTTGTAAGTATAAGGTGCATGGCACTGTTTCATCACTGCCAAGATCAGGAAGAAAACACAAGCTATCACCTGCTGCTGAGAGAAAATTGGTCAGGAGGGTAAAGAGTGAACCAAGAATCACCAAAAAGCAGATCTGCCAAGAATTAGAAGCTGCTGGAACACAGGTGTCATTGTCCACAGTCAAACGTGTTTTGCATCTCCATGGACTGAGAGGCTGCCGTGCAAGAAGGAAGCCCTTGCTCCAAAAGCGGCACCTTAAGGCTCGACTGAAGTTTGCTGCTGATCACATGGACAAAGATAAGACCTTCTGGAGGAAAGTTCTGTGGTCAGACGAAACAAAAATCAAGCTTTTTGGCCACAATGCCCAGCAATATGTTTGGAGGAGAAAAGGTGAGGCCTTTAACCCCAAGAACACCATGCCTACAGTCAAGCATGGTGGTGGGAATATTATGCTGTGGGGCTGTTTTGCTGCCAATGGAACTGGTGCTTTACAGAGAGTAAATGGGATAATGAAGAAGGAGGATTACCTTCACATTCTTCAACATAACCTAAAATCATCAGCACGAAGGTTGGGTCTTGGGCGCAGTTGGGTGTTCCAACAGGACAATGACCCCAAACACACATCAAAAGTGGTAAAGGAATGGCTAAATCAGGCTAGAATAAGGGTTTTAGAATGGCCTTCCCAAAGTCCTGACTTAAACCCCATTGAAAACATGTGGACAGTGCTGAAGAAACAAGTCCATGTCAGAAAGCCATCAAATTTAACTGAACTTCACCAATTCTGTCAAGAGGAGTGGTCAAAGATTCAACCAGAAGCTTGCCAGAAGCTTGTGGATGGCTACCAAAAGTGCCTAATTGAAGTGAAAATGGCTAAGGGACATGTAACCAAATATTAGCACTGCTGTATGTATATTTGTGACCCAGCAAATGTGATCACTTTTCTCTGTTAACCCATAATAAAGACATTAAAGAACCAAACTTCATGAATGTTTTTTGTGACAAAGAAGTATCTGTTCCAATCACTCTATCAGAGAAAAATCAGAGTTTTAGAAATAACGGGACACTCAGTAGAGCCATTATATTATATTTTTTACAAGTGTATGTAAACTTCTGACCACAACTGTATACATATATATATATATACATACGTTTTAGCAACACATTGAAATACATTGTGAAAGACAGCTGAACGCTCACTGTGTGCAATTATGCAATACAAATTAAATAAGTCAATAAATATCTTGTTATTTGTTGAACTTAAAATATAAACAAACTCAAAACATTAAAGAAACAGTGTGTTGGGGTCCTTCGAATCCTTTCTTCAGTCTACAGGGTGTCTGCGGGTCCTTAAAAAGTCTTAAATTTGCTTTTCCAAATTTAAGGCCTTAAAAATCCTTAAAAATGACAAATAATCCTTAAATACAGTTTCCGAAGGTCTTAAATAACCAAAGACCCAATAAACAAGATTCTTTTATTTCTATAAAAATTTAGTGAATTTCTAGTTAGTGTTCAGCATTTTTTGTGTACGATGTTGGTGTAAGCGGAACCGTACACATTCAGTTGGTTGTGAAAGGGGACTAGTTTTAGATGAGCACATTAGCTGGTTAAGCTAGCGGGAGCTTGTGCCATGGGGAAGTGCAAGTTTAATGGTAGCTGGATGGTTAATCCCATGTTCGTGACGTGGTTAGCACCGGTTCCAGGCAGTAGCTGGAAATTGTAGCTTAAATGTAATTTTAAAAATTTCTTAAATTTGGTCAAAGTGGCCTTAAAAAGGTCTTAAAAAGTCTTAAATTTGGCTCCCTTAAACCTGCAGATACCCTGGTCTAGAAGTGGCGGCAGTTCTTCATGCAGGTGCCTGATTTTTATTTAAAAATTTTATCGGCTTTTAAAAATTATTTTCGGCCATTGGCCGATATAGAAAATCAGTCGGCCTCTAGTTCTTTCCTTTTTTACACAATTAATACAGCTTGTTCCTTGGGTGGGGTTCATTCTTAACTTTCTCTGGCTCTTCGACCATCCCTGAACCCAAAATTTAAGTTTTCTGATGTTCTCATATTCCAGTATAATCTATCCTGTTGTGCTGTAGTCCAGGTGTTTGTACTGTTTGTGATCCAGCACGGAAAGCAGGTTAAATAACTCATGTGGACTTTTGTGGTTTGGTTTTTCACGCTGACATTTTTCTTTAGTTTTAAGGGGTTGGTGGTGGATCTAGAAGACGGGAACCTTGTGAAGCTGGCTGAAGATGGAACCGTTCTACGGTACGCTCTCCCTTCATTAAACAGTTTTTAGGATTTCTGCCTTTTAAAGAAGCTTTAAAAGTTTTACTCTTTGCCTGATTAGCGCCTCACACGGAACCAGTGACCTCAGCACGGATGAGATCATAAAGCATTATGGTCCAAAAAAAGAGTGGCAGCACTTCTACAGTCTGAACACCTCCTTTACAAGATCTGGTGGGATTTTTACTCCTGATCCCAGATCAGTTTGTCTGGTGACTTTTATATTCTTTAATGTTCATGGTGCTATATTTAATTGCATTTTATAGAAGTTTTTTTCTTTCTTTCTTGCAGCAAAATACTATTTCTATGACAATTACTTTGACCTGCCGGGTGTTCTGCTGTGTGGAAAAGTTGTGGACATGTTGCACAAGGTGACTGCAGCCCTGTGAGGGTTTACAGTTACAGTGGGTTTATTCCAAATGAACTGTTTTTTCTCTGTGACCAGCGAGGAAACGAGGTGAACTCTGACTTTTGGAAGGACATCGTTTCTGCAATCGACCACAATTACAACACGTCTGCTTTTAAAGGTATGCGTTTTGTTTCAGACATGCACTTGTCTTGGTTGATTTAAATCAAAAACCCAACAAACACTTTTTTCAAAGTCAAACTTTTATTCCATGTTTTGATCAGTAAGTGGTTTATAACTTAACACATCCAACGGGACATAGTTTTTAAAAGCAGTCTGAATTTCTCTTCCTGTGTTCTTTTGGAGGTCAAAGTGCTTGTGAGAATGTGCTGATCTTTAATGACATATATTACAAAGGTTTTTCATAGTTTACTATGTAAATGACAGAGAACGTTTTAAACAACAAACATTAACAAAGACAAACAAAAATGCACTGTAAAGATACCAGGCAATTGTAAAGCACCACTTAAAATATCTTCCAAAATCATTCTAACTTTTTGGAAAATTTCTTTGACGCATGGTGAATAGGGGACCGAAGTCGGCTGGAACATGGAAACCTTAAATTGAACGGATCTCCTGTAAGTGAATCCTTTCTTATCGTTTAGCAAATAGAGATCGTTTAAACTTTAATGAGGCAGTTTAACTTGTCAGACTCTGAACCAATTCACTATCTTAACCTGAAACTCTTAAACCGATCTTTTTCTTTAAGGGGATTTTTTAAAAATCACGTTGATGCAATTAAGAACCCAGAGAAAATACAATGAACGTTGTCTGCAGCAAATATACCATTGCTCTCCTCATCAGGAACCTGCACATACACTCTGTCACCAGGATGCAGCATGAGAACAGCACTGCCAGACATCTGGTCCAGGAAACCCTTGTTGTACTCATCATAGGTGAAAACAACCGGCTCCTCGTTCTTGTAGAGTGCCACCAGTGCATTGGCACCATTGACATGCATGTGAAAGCTGAAGAAGTAAAGGCCTGGGACCTGACAGGTGAAGACACCACTGTGGGGATCATAGTGTTGCTCTCCGTTGTAAACAACCTGGTTGAACTGAATGGGGCTTCCAGCAGGGGGGTAGGCCACGGTCAGCACAGCACTAAAGGCAGACATGGGAGCCTTCATCATTTCATGAGGCATCATAACTTCATGGGATTTGATTGGCATGCTCTTGTCATGGTGGTAGACTACTTCTCCTGGTGGACCAGGTGGACCAGGAGGACCAGCCGCACCAGGGAGACCATCCTGGCCTCTCTCACCTGGAAGTCCAGGAGGACCCTGAGGCCCAGAAACTCCCTTGGCCGTCAGACCAGCTGGACCAGGTGGACCTGGGTGCCCTGGATGACCCTTAAGTCCAGCTGGACCTGTTGGACCAGGTGGTCCAACTGGTCCCACTGGTCCTGGCCTACCAGGTTCACCACTTTTTCCTGGTGCTCCTGCGGGGCCTGTATGTCCTTTTAGTCCAGGTGCACCATTTGAACCAGGGAGACCTGGAGGACCAGCATGACCCTGAGAACCCTTTGGACCCTGAGCACCATTATGACCTGGAATTCCTGAAGGACCTACTGCCCCAGGGATACCTGGTTTTCCAGTGAAACCCTGAGCTCCCTGCTCACCTTTGGCTCCTCTTGGACCTGGTGCACCTACCATACCAATGTCACCTTTGGGTCCCACTGGACCTGACTCACCCTGAAATCCTCTTGCACCCTGTGGACCAGCTGGGCCAATTGGACCCGGAGCACCTGGGTGACCAGTAAATCCAGTTGGGCCTGGTTCTCCTTTTTGACCAGTGGTTCCCGGAGTGCCGGGAGCACCTCTGCTTCCTGGAATTCCAGCCTCACCTGTTTTACCAACACCTGGCATACCAGGGGAACCTGGCTGACCAGCTGGACCCTGTGGACCCTTAGGCCCCATAGGTCCAGGCATACCTGGCGTACCGTTCTGACCTGGCTTCCCTGAAGATCCTACACCTGGTGGTCCAGTGTGACCCTTAGGGCCTGGCAATCCCTTTGGCCCAGGTGCTCCATCTCTTCCTGGCATGCCCGGTTTTCCAGGTTCTCCTGGATAACCAGTGGCACCAGGAGTGCCAATTCCAGATTTGCCTGGCATACCCGTTGGGCCCATTGGTCCAGTTGGACCTGGTGGTCCCTGGACTCCAGGTACACCAATGCCTCTTTCTCCTGCGGGCCCTGGAAGACCAGGGATGCCAGGGTGCCCCTTCAAACCAGGCTCACCCCTTGGACCCATTGCACCAGCGATCCCAGCTGGTCCAGGTTTTCCAGTAGCTGAAAGCCCAGCAGGTCCAGGGGTTCCAGGTGTACCAGGTGCACCTCTTGGTCCCATTTGTCCGGTTGCACCAGTTGCACCTTTGTCACCAGGAATGCCAGGGTTACCTGGTTTTCCTGGTGCTCCTGGGGTACCAGGTTTACCCGCTTGAGAGTGGCCTGGGGCCCCAGGAGGCCCTGGTGGGCCTCGTGGTCCTGTGTGTCCAACACCTCTTTCTCCCGGAGGTCCTGGTGGCCCCATGGGTCCTGGCTCACCTGGAAGACCTGGCTCACCTGGTGCTCCTGCAACAGCTAGATAGTACAAAAACAAAGCATGTGACTATGTCAGTTAGCTATTTCAATAGAAATACAGCTATGTCACACAGAGACTAAATGTAAACTACTTTGATGTTTGTTTCAGAAACTGAAGTTCACAAACCAAAATCAAGGAAAACTTGAGAAGTTGCTTGACTAGAGCCAGTTTGTGTTTCTTAACTAAAATCAGACTAAAACTGCCGCTGACCCTCTAAGCGTGGATTAGGCAGGTGGGGGTGTCAGTAACCTATTCAGGATTGTTGACGTGTTAGGTAATCTCTAGATTCATGTCCATTTTGTCTAGAGTAGTGGTTCCCAACCTTTTTTCACCTTTCTTGTGTTCAAGCCAGGACCCCCAACTCCAACCTGCCCACTCACGTTAAAAGTGATTACAAATTTGATCACGCTACCGGGTGTGCTGTTGGGTTTTTATGAATGTATTTTTTTTTTACACATATATAAGTTTGGTAATCTTACAACCACAGCACAGACAGAATAGTGGGTTGCAGAACTACTGGTCTAGATTAGTGGTTCCCAATCTGGGGTCTGTGACCCCCCCAAGGGGTCCCCTCAATTTTGTCTGTGCTGAGATCATGAGGTTACAAACATATTTGTAAAAATTAAATGAGTTAAATCCCAATAACACTCCCAATAGACTAACTAAGTTATAACTCTGCATGGCTGTTTAAAGTTAGTAATGAATCACTTGATGCGTGTATGTGGGTAAGAGTCGGGGCTGGGGGGGCTGGCTCGTCTTGGACAGAAGAAAAGGGAGTCCTCATGGAAAACAGGTCCACTGGTCTAGATCATCTTCATTAATGTGTGGACTCTAGACTTGACCTCTCCGGGTGTTCCGCTACGTCACGGTTATTGTCCTCAAATAGGTTTTTAATAGTTTTTAAGGAACTGTTGTTAGTCTGTTGCATTAAGAGGTTTGGAGACTGATGCAGCACAACTAACGTGTGACTTATAGTCAAAGGTGAAATCCAGTTGTTGTGTGTGTCCCACAAACGTTATTTTATTGTTGGAGTATCTAGTTACTAGTGAGATATTATTTCATTGGGTAGTAAATACATTTGAAGTTCTGTAATACAGCTTAGCTCATCCATATCCATATGAAGCTTGTTTTCTAACAGCCCGAAAGGTTTAAAACGGACTCATTAGATATCCTAGAGGCGTGCGCTTCTGGGCGAGGCACAACAATCCTTTAGAACAACTCTTGGTCTTTATTAATAAATCAGAATTATTATGAAGGGGAGAAGAACTCTTAATCTTGGCGGACAAAACAGGTTTCTCTATTTAAAGTGTCTGATGGTGGAAGAGGAGAACAACTCTGATTGAGCCACATAATCAGCCTTAATCCCAAATGGGATTGTCTGGGTCAGAAGTTGACCTCTAGGCTATCAGGAACTTCACAAAGTCGAGGTGGTGATGCTGACCTTGAAGGTGAGCTTCTCCAGCCCCGTGAACACCGACCTCCTCTGTGCAGAGCCCACATCAGTAAAAACGTCTGGCAGCACAGTTTAAGTAGTCGTTTTCCCGCAGGTTGTTGCTTACTCTCTTGTCTTTTCTACAGACGCTTCTGAACCTATTGCAGTTAGCAAGTTAGACGTTGTGGGTCTGTTTCTGCTGCTTTAGATGTTTTCTTTAGTCTCTGATGGCTCGATGTGATGTGGAAACCACAAAGCTGTTGGGAAGGGTGTGTCGGCAACGTGCTCGCAGCTTCTGTTTTGGAAATCTGTCAAATTTGAGCTCTCATTGTTTTATTTGCAATTTTACATTCATACAGGGCAGCAAAACCACATCAGTCAAAGTCAGTCAAATTATGAGCTGCTGCACGGGTACACACGCACACACACACACACACACACACACACACACACACCCACACACACACACACACACACACACACACACACACACGTGCAGCTGAGCTGCTAGATGGTGGCTAATGACGGAGGGCGGTGCTCAACAGCCCTCATTTACCAACAAGAGCCCACAGTGTGTGTGTGTGTGTGTGTGTGTGTGTGTGTGTGTGTGTGTGTGTGTGTGTGTGTGTGTGTGTGTGTGTGTGTGTGTGTGTGTGTGTGTGTGTGTGTGTGTGTGTGTGTGTGTGTGTGTGTGTGTGTGTGTGTGTGTGTGTGTGTGTGTGTGTTTTAGATGCGTGCTGATGCAGTGACCACATGACGTGTGGGATTTTCCTCCCTTCTACTGACCCGGTTGACCCGGTTGACCTGTTGTTTAGGCCTTCTGCCTGTTTTAGTGTTATCTGTACGTTTCGACTTGACCAGACGTCTTCAGAAGTTTTTAAACCCTGAGAATGTGAAGCATCAACATCTCTGCTGTTTACTGGTCCTCGTCTGTGTTAGCAGCTCTCTGACTTTGCTTTCAATGAAAACCTGAATGTGAGTGCTGCAGCTTCAGTCTCCATCTCGCTGTAACGATCAGTTTGTTCTGTCTGAAGAGGATTCAAACCGCCCTGCCCTCGTCACGGCCGCTATCCCAGACTAACAGTGTGAGACTCACCATGGCTCTTCACCGGGTAGGGAACCTTGGTCACTCGTGGAGCATGGTACCTCTCAGGAGTTGCCTCGGCCAGAGCCAGGAGGACAAAAAGAAGGCTCGTTACCCTCAAGTCCATCTTGTGAAGCTAAACCTGCAAATGAAAGGAAATCCCGGACATCATTAAGAATCGTAGGCAGGTTTTTGCTTGTGTTCTCGTTTCAGAGACGATCAGCAGTAAAGGACCTGAGCGTCACTCAGCAAGCTCCCTTATTCTGTGCTGTAGCTCTGGCTGATCTGTTCCTTGCTGCTTTGCTTCCTTTTCATTCAAATGTTGTCCAGAAGAAACAAACTGAAGCTGTCAACAGGCAACGAAATCCAGCTCGCACGCATAAGTCAATCCTAGCACAGTTACATCTGCTGCTGTCAGGTAGTTCACACGCACGCACGCACGCACGCACACACACACACACGCACGCACGCACGCACGCACGCACGCACACACACACACACACACACACACACACACACACACACACACACACACACACGCACACACACACACACACACACACACACACACACACACACACACACACACACACACACACACACGCACGCACGCACGCACGCACGCACACACACACGCACACACACACACGCACACACACACACACACACACACACACACACACACAGAGCCATGATGAGGACCAGCACTTGTCCTTGTGTTTACCATCACAGACTCACCGCGCAGGTTTATGCTCCAGGGAGGGCTGCTGTCCTGCTCGCGTTTATATCCTGTGTTTGGAGTCGGACTGCCGGAGTGAGTGGCAGCTGCTGCTTCCCGGAGCACCGGGCTCAAGCTTTTTATACTAGCTGCTCTCCAGCATCCTGGAGGATTTACCTCATGTAGAAGGCCCTCCCTGAGATGATGTCATCCTTAATGATGGGTGCCTTGTCCTAAAGAGGCCTGTCATTCCAGGGTGATGGTCCTCCCCCATCCTCCCCTGCCTGCTTCTCTTTGTGTGTGAAGCAGCAGGGAGGGGAGTCCGCTTACTCTCATCAGAAACTTTCTCCATTAAGTCAAACTTCATGTGCCTTTTTGACTGATGACTCTTTAGTTTTATTATTCGGGCTTCGACGTGGAAAGGCCCCGTCTGGCATGCTGAGTTTAGTCAAGTTGTTTTAATTCTGACACGTAAAACTGTAATTTCAGGATCTGAGTCAGTTCCACTCTGTGCACACTATTTCTGTCACACGACTGCTTTGATGTGCAGTTTTAAATTTCACCATTGTTAAGGCTGCCCTGCTGCTGCCGGTCTGTTTGTTAGGGATTTCTTTCATTTGGAAACCCAGGTGAAGGTTTACGGGACGTTCCCTGCAGCTTTTGGACACCAGGAGGCAGGATTGTGGTGTTGGGATGATGAGCTGCATGACCCTGTCAGGAACAACCAGCAGTTTGACTCATAACTTATTCTGATGAAAATACAATTATATATTAAACACTGAAAAAGAAATGGAGTCGGTAATAAAAGCACCTTGGACACAAAGTCGACCTCTGCAGTGATATTAAATAAAACAAATTTATAACCTGAAAAAACCAACTGGTGAATTTTGGGCTTTAAAACTCAGGAGATGGACGTCGTCCACCCTGCCCATCACCTGTTATCTAGCCTGTGTACGTCAACCAGAACATCTCACAAACACACGCAGACACAATTGCATGTATAGTTTGGACCGCCATTGACTTCCATTCATTTTAGTGACTACACTACCCATACTCTAACCCTAACCAATGCTGATCTATTACTAACCCATCCCCGATGTGGATGTGTACACACAGGTTGAGGCTAAATTGTGTCCACTTAAACATATAAAAACAAGTACACACACACACACACACACACACACACACATAAACTTTGAAATAAGAAGTTTGATCCACACTCAGACAAAGATAATTAAACACGAATTTATGTTTTTTTATTAAACTTTTAAAAAACTCAGCTCTCAGTTTTCATCACCTATTCACCATGGACTGTGTAGGTAAGATGGATGAAGCCTGTGTCACATCACGCTTCGGTTTCTGAGTTGCTAAATGGAAGCCTAATGGGCGGTTCCCGCCACCGCCATCTTGGCTGCATCACTTGTGTCGTCACTCTCCAAAAATATAGCAGAGAGCCGGGCTGCGAACGCACCAGCTAAAGGCTAATTGAAGCCTTTTTTTACAAGACACACCATGCCGGCAAACTGGCATAATATTACGACAACGGTGTGTCTTATAAACGCGCCATACTGGCATGGCGTTGCACGATTTTTGCGCCATTCGTTCAGCCTCGCGTGGTGGTAATTTTGCAGTAATTATCTATTTTTAATGGGGAATTGCACATTGGCACAACTGTGGTGTCATGATGAAATGGGGAGTTGCTGCCTAGCTCCGGCCAGCAACTAAATCGCAAATGAAAGTAAACACAGGTGGTAAGTTTTGCTTTTTGAACCAAGTCAGCTGAGACAGCAAGCCGGTGCGCTGCAGCGCTCCTGGGGCTTTTCTCCATTAGAGCTGGATCTCCGATCACCAGAGACTGCAAAGGGACTGTAGGGGTCAGACACCTTCAGGAGCAGCTTGTTGTAAAAAAAACATGACGATCGCGGCTTCAATCGCAATATAAAGCAAGTTATGTCCAAGGTAAAAGGAAGACTACGGCAGCGCAGAGACACCACATACGTCCTTTATGCCGCTGTCATCTAATCTTTTATATAAAGGACGATTGTGCAACATTACCGACATGGTCTGACCACCTAGAAATGATCTAAGGCTCCCTAAGGTCCAGAGACCAAAGCCTACTGGTTGTGCAGCACCAGGCTAAAGGTCAAAGGTGACCGATCATTTGCTGCTGTGGCCCCCAGACTGTGGACCCCCACCCGAGCCTGAGATCAGTGGACTCAGTGGTCTCCTTTAAAAAGCAGCTGAAGACTCACTTGTTCAGGCTGGCTTTGGTGTGACCTTCATCACCCTCCTTGTTCTGCTCTCCCCACCTATTCCACCTTCCTCAGGATCCACTGATTTGCCTCCTTCCTATTCACTCTCTCTCTTTCTTTACATTTTTAAATCATAATTGTCTATTTTTTTGCTAATTTTAAATATATTTTAAATAATTTTCCAAATAATTTTTTTTATTTCCATTCTTTCGTTCTTTTTTAAACACAGAAACAGTTTTGTTTACCTGTTTGTAGCTACAGTTTCGCCGACGGCTGCCGGCTTCTTCAGGCTGACGCTGAAGAATTTTTTTTTATTTTTACATTTTTTTGTTTTTGTGAAGCGCCTCGTGATTTTTATCTTGAGAGGCGCTGTAGAAATGACCTTTTCTTCTTCTTCTTCCTGATGTGCAGCGTTGCGGCAAATTCACAGCATTGTTTTGTTACAAACGGCTTGAAGCTAGCAGGCGCGTGGTTTCAGCTAGGAAACTGTGATTGAGTGTCTCTGCTACCCTCTTCCTTCTAGACTAAAACGTTTTGCCGTAAAGCCGAGACAGCCCGGTCCCTTAACAAGTGGGAGGCACATGTGCAAACTGCTGTAATTCCTACACCGTTCACCTAGCCTAGTGAACTAGACCAAATTCTTGCTTTGCAAAGTTTGGTCTAGGCACGTCCCATTGGAACCTCCGCAGCTCCTACCAGGACTCTGGCTGGCCAATCACAGCTCTCTAGAGGGGTTTCAAACACATAAAGAGCTGTGATTGGTCCATAATGGTGGGCCAATCATAGTGCTCTATCTGCTTAGTGAACAAATCACAGAGCTTTATCCGCTTTGTGGGCCAATCAGGGCACTCTATATGCCTGGTGGGTGGGATGATGCAACAGAGTGAAACAAGAGTACGTCACATTCATTGTCCAGTGGAATGCAGAGATCATTTGAAAGACAACGGTAGAACCTGCCCCACAACCGAGAGCCGTCAATGGAGCGTGGCCAGACTAAATAATACATTTATTTAGTCTGGCTTGCCAGGCTACCGTTCACCTGATTTGGATGTAAAAACCTCAAATAAAAGCTGACCGTCTGCAGTTAGTTTCATTTGATGTCCGTTGTGGTGGTGTATAGAGCCAAAAATGTTAGCATTGTGTCCATGTCCCAATATTTATGGACCTGACTGTATTTATTAAAAATGATCAATAAGATGGGATGTTTCCATATAAATATGAAATATCAACCTGGTTGATCTTTGAATGCTTAATCAGAAGACTCTAGTTTACTTATTCAGGGACCATAAACACACTTCATATTAATTCAGACAGAGTCAAGTATATAGTTTATAAAAATGAATTTATTTCTCTTCCCTAAACTAATGATTATACTTGACAAGATATGAATGGAATGATGGATATTAGGGGCTGCATGACTTAATTTTTATTAAAGTCGACTGTCAAGTAATGAAAATCGAGTGGACTTTGACTAGTCGTTGATGACGTCATACACCTGAAGCGGGGGGGAGGAGGGGGGTCGGTTGGTTCGCTGGAGTTTTTTTTTTTGACAATTAAAATTGCGCTCACATTTTCAAAGTTAAACACATTTCTTTTAACAACGGTAGTTTCTGCTTCAGCCCTCCCCCCTCCCCCTGCCTGCAGCCTCTCGGAGTTCCTGCTGCTCTAAACATTAAAATAATTATTTCATTTTCTGTTCCTCGCTTTTATCCAAAGCGACTTACAATTTATAACCTATAGGGCATGTTGTGATCTGTGGGGGGAACCGGAGTACCCGGAGGAAACCCACGCATGCACGGGGAGAACACACAACTCCACGCAGAAAGGCCGCAGCCGAGTTTCAAACCTGCAGCCTTCGTGCTGCGAAGCAACAGTGCTAACCACTGCACCACCATGCAGCCCCAGTAGTGCAGAAAAAATCTTGACTAACAACCTGTATAAAAGTCTAGATGAGCGTGAGTTACACTGAGATGGTTAGTGTTATGATGACCATGTGTGTGTGTTGTATTGCAGGTTAGTGTTCAGATGAAAGGACTTTAGGTATTCTCAGCCACATCCCAGCTTTCTTACCAGGCTCTGGAACAGCCTTTTCCTCCTCCTGACCAAACCAGTTAAAGCTGCCCCATCCCGGCGGCCACAGCAGAGCCCTCTCTGGGCCGTGGGCATCCCTGACTCTCTACATGAAATGAGAGAGTTGTGTGGGAGTGTAGTCCACATTTAACAACTTTCTCAGTGGCAGATACGCCACTGCATCTAAACCATGAAAGTGGTTTTCACCACAATGAAGCAATGGCTGCTCTTTATTTCCACGGGACTTTTTTCTGCCTCTTTTGGTGTGTCAGAATTATTACCTGCGTGTCTAAATCTGGCTGTCATGAGGTTTAATCGAAACGGCTACTTAGATATACGAACTGTTTTTGGGTAAGTGCACGCTCTGCATGGCAAAAAGCATAAACATGTAATTAGGAGGGAAATGAAGAGTGCAGAAGGCCTTTTTAGACCAATTGCTGTGGAGTCCTGAAGGTTGGGTGTTTGGGTGGGGGGTGGTATTGCTGGGGAGGGTCTGCTGTAACAATAGTTTTACTCTTAAAACATCCAAACACACTGCTGGTTCCTCCAGACTCGACTTAATGCTCCTTTTAATTAACTAATGGTGCCAGCTGCTACTTTCACCCTCATCTGGAATGTTTGTCTGAATGTTTCTGAGGAAGTCTAGTTCACGCCTGTGCTCTATTCAAAAGATTAAACACGGTTCTGTTCAGTGGAGCAATAAAGAAGCATCAGTGTTTTTTAAATAGTGAAGATAAAAATCACAAGGTGCTTCACAAGAACAAAAAAATGATCAAAAAAATAATTTTAAGAAATGTCGTCGTCGTCTTCCTCCGCTTATCCGGGTCCGGGTCGCGG